CAGCTCTGTGGGAGGCTGAGGAGGGAGGATCCTTTCAGTTCAGGAGTCTGAGACCAGCCTGAGCAAAAGCAAGCTCCCATCTCTACTAAACATAGAAAAACTAGCTGGGCATTGTGGTGGCTGCCTATAGTCCCAGCTACTCAGGAGGCTGAGGCAAGAGGATTGCATGAGTCCAGGAGTTAGATAGAGGTTACTGTGAGCTAAGCTGATACCACTGCACCCTAGCCTGGGTGACCGAGTGAGATTGTCTCAAAAAAAAAAAAAAAAATAGATGTTGCTTCATTTGAAGCTGAACTGGCAATGGAGTGTCCACATCCATGATGGTTTACTTGCGTGGCTGTTTGCATGAGGCCTCAGTTCCTCCCACTTGGACCTTACTATGGTGTGTCTTGAGCATCCTTGAAACATGGCTACCAGCTTCTCCCAGAGGTGACAACCCTAGAGAGATAGTAGGACAGAATGCCTTTTGTAGCCACAGAAGGCACACATCATCATTTCCGATGTATCCTGTTTGTTACACCAGTCACCCTATTCAGAGGGAACAACGCAAAAGCATAAAAGCCAGGACATGAGGACCACTGGGGCCATCACAGGTGGAGTTAGCTACCCAGGCATATTCACACATAGTAGTCATTCAATAAAGGTTCCCATGTTTGCCATTTTTACCAATATCAATCCTCATTTGTCAAGTGCAGGTTACAAAGGGGAAGGAGGGAGAAGGAAGCAGCACTTATTGCACTGTCCTGGGACCACCTCACTTCCCACTGCAGACGAGGAAGCTGGGGCCCAGAGGGGACAAGACCCGGGAGTTCGACTTTCACCTCCACGGCTGGACTTTGCTTCCTCCATACTTGTTCCTCTTGCACATCCCCTGAGGTGTGTGGGTTTGTTCATCTGCACAAACTTTACCTCCAGGCATTCCTGAATACCCTGCAGTTGGAATTGTAGGAATTTCTATTTCTTCCTTATGTTTCTCTCTGATTTAATTTTTTTTTTTTTTTGAGAGAGTCTCTCTTTGTTGCCCTCTGTAGGGTGCTATGTCATGATAGCTCACAGCAACTTCAAATTCTTGGGCTCAAGTGATTCTCTTGCCTCAGTTTAGCTGAGGACTACAGGCGCCCACCACAATGCCCAGCTATAGTTAGAAACAGGGTCTTGCTCTTGCTCAGGCTGGTCTCTCTACCTACCTCAGCCTCCTAGAGTGCTAGGATTATAGGCATGAGCCACTGCACCCGGCCCTGAATTAAAATTTTCATTAGATAAGCATCTTTTGCCGAGTATGATGGCTGATACTTATAATCCCAGCATTTTGGGAGGCTGAGATGGGAGGATCACTTGAGCCCAGGGCGTTGAGACCAGCCTGGGCAACACAGTGAAACCCTGCCTCTACAAAAAATAGAAAAATTAACCAGATGTGGTGGCATGTAATTCCCAGCTACTTGGGAAGCTGATGCCTGAGGATCCCTTGAGCCCAGGAGTTTGAGGCTGCAGCGAGCTATGACGACACCACTGCATTCTAGCCCAGGTAACAGAGTAAAAGCCTGTCTCAAAACAAGCAAACAAATTCAACAAAATGAATGAAAAAATAAAGTTCTTTCTGGACCTGCTCCCTGCACATGTCACGACCCTCCTCTCCACCTATCCAGAAGTTCCTGTCATTTTTTCCAAGACTCTGCAGGCTGATTCAAACCCCAGGACTGTTGCACATGCTGTTCCCTCTGCCTGGCATGAGGCAGCCCATGCCTCCTTCTCTTTCTCCTTCTGGCTGACCCTAGATATAGCTGGATGCTCCCTTCTGTGCTTGGAGCTTAACTTTTTTTTTTTTTGAGACAGAGTCTCACTTTGTTGCCCTCAGTACAGTACCATGGTGTCATAGCTCAGAGCAACCTCAAACTGTTGGGCTCAAGCGATCCCCTTGCCTCAGCTTCCTGAGTAGCTGGGACTACAAGCACCTGCCCCAATACCCAGCTATTTTGTTTTATTCTTTAAAAAGGGGTGATTTGGGGGTTTGGATGAGCATATATGCACAGTTCCCTTGTTTTGTTTTGTTTTTGTTTTTGTTTTTGTTTTTGTTTTTGTTTTTTGTCAAGACAGAGTTCTACCCTATGTCCTGAGCAGAGTGCAATGGTGTTGTAGCTCACTGCAACCTCAGACTCAAGCTGGCATCCTGCTGCCTCAGCCTCCGAAGCTGCTGGGATTATAGGCACTTGCCATGGTGCCTGGCTGTGTTTTTCCTTTTTTTTTTTCATGAGTCAGAGTCTCACTCTCACTCAGACAAGCCTTGAACTCCTGAGCTCAAGCAATCCTTCTGCCTCAGCCTCCCTCAGTGCTGGGATTACAGGCATGAGCCACCGTGCCCAGGAAACCCAGGTATTTTTTAAATTTTTTTAGAGACAGAGTCTCACTT